GTTCCTGGCATTGCTTCCATCCTGCCTCCAGGGAAAAAAGTGTGTGTGGGGGCAGAAGATTCCCCTCTTCTTTAACTTCTCCTTTTTCTCTACTGTTACCCATTAGCATTGTCTGCAAAGACTGACTGCTACAGCCCACCTCTAAGGTACAAACTTCACCTAGACATCGGCTTCTCTGGACTGAGGAGAAACTCTATATCTTCTGTGTATTGGCTGAGGAGAGAGCTGCTGCCAGGGGTGCGTAAGTATCACCTCTTCCAGCCACCTTGGGCTGAGCTCCAAGCTCTTACCATCTGTGCTATACAGGTCCAGTGTTCCCCCGTCGCTTTTCTCCCAGGCTGGCATGAGGTACAGGATGAAAGCGATTCTCCGACCTTCCAGCTCATCGTCGTGGCACAGCAAGACATCTGCAATTACACACGTTTTGCTGCAGCAGTGCCTTTCCAGCAGGCGCATGATTCATTCCAGTAGCTGCTTCCCAGCTTTGTCCTCGCAAGAACACAACAAGAAAAAACATGCCCTTTCCAAGAACTGCACTTTCGCTCATCAGCACCACCAGCCCAAGATCTGCAAGATTCACTCCTGTGAGACTGCACTGCAACGTGCAGACGAGCCCACCCTGAAGGTACGGGCGGTTACAGCTCGTCACCCACCCCTCCACGGCTGTTACTGGGCACAGCGGACCGAGATTCCCGACTTCAATAACAGTTCAAGCTCTTTGAAATACACAGCTGCCGTCTGAGTAGGTTTGTTGCTGGAATGGGGCCAGAGGGAGAAAAGCTGGACCAACAATTCCTTGCGCAAAAGACTTTTAAAAAGTAGTGCTAACAGTAAAAAATTTTCCCCTTCCTACAGTGATTTTTCATGACTAAAAGGGCAGGCGCAGCTGTACCCCGGACTCACGAAGGCGATGTTTTAGCGTCAGACTTCACAAACTCAGTGGCGGCATGTGGTCGCCCTTCTGTGTGGAAGCGGGCACGCACACACAAGCTGAACAGCTCCGGAAAGGTGGGGGATTGCCACAGCGCTGGGCCCAGTTAAAGCCATCGGCAACGGGACTACAGCAACCGTTTTTCCACAACTGGGCCTTCATTTTCTGAGACTCTAGTTTGCTGCCAATAGCTCTTAGGACCCTCTGGAACCAGAAAGGGCTTGGGGTGGGTTACATGAGGAGGTATACGAGACATAGCGTTTCCTATACACCCACAGAAACTCTGGGGAAAGGTTCACTTACGGACTGACCTGTATATTCATATTTAGCACAGAAGATGTCAATAGTTGGCTCCAGCTCGATCTGGGTCACGGCAGAAAGCCACGCTCGGAATTCTTCACATAGAGCACTCCTGAGAAGCCAAGCACAAGGTAAGCATCCTCCCGCGTTACCAGGCAGATCACCACAGCCTCAGCTGATCTACCATCGCCCTCCGGACCGTCTGAGCAGCCACCGGTGACAGCGTTCTGCTGCAGAGCCACACGGCCCAGGAGCAACCAGCGGAGCAGCCCGGGAGGGACAGAGGGACTTGGGCCGACCCAGACCGCACTCCTGAGAAGCCAAGCACAAGGTAAGCATCCTCCCGCGTTACCAGGCAGATCACCACAGCCTCAGCTGATCTACCATCGCCCTCCGGACCGTCTGAGCAGCCACCGGTGACAGCGTTCTGCTGCAGAGCCACACGGCCCAGGAGCAACCAGCGGAGCAGCCCGGGAGGGACAGAGGGACTTGGGCCGACCCAGACCGCGCTGCTCGGAGGAAAACCGGCCACGGACCGCGGGGCCAGGCGGGTTCAGCTCCCCGGGGCCGGCTCCCGGCCCGGGCACC